ACAAAAAAATCATTGATTCCAAGAGAGATTAATGGATGTCTAATCACAATTGAGCCCAGAGAAAATCGATGATACTTCTCCTCTGCATTAGGAATCAACTAAGATGCATACCTTGAGAGCTTGTTGAATTCAGCTTCATACTGCATAATCAAGCGATCACCCTGTACCAACATGATAAACTTGTCTTGCATCTCTCCCTTGGCAAACAGTGGTACGAACCAGTCTGTAAAGGTACCCACAAACTCATCCCACTAAATTATGTGATTGGCTCTACCCCCATATTTATCCTACAAATGACCACGCCACCATCTCTTTGTTTCTCCCTCTAAAGCAAATATGCCCAATGTAATCATCCTCTCATGAAGACAAGACAATCTGTCTAGAATCTTGTCGACCCTCAGCAACAAGTTTCCAGTATCCACCAGATCTCCAGAAAAAAGAGATGGTATCACATCCTGAAATAATTTGTACTTATCTATCTGACCTCCACTGGAACTTGCTTGAGCCTGAGAGTTCTTAATCAACAATATTACTGCAGTCATCATCTCAGTAAATGCATTTGTATTTACAGTAGAGTTCTTAATCAACTTCTACAATATCATCTCTAGCTTCTTCCCCCTAATTTTTCATATTTTTGAAATAACATAAAAGAGATTATAGTTAAATACAATTTAATTCTTTATCAATATTATTAATTAGGTAAAGTAATTATCCTGATGGCGCTTTTAGATCATGGTCAAATCTAATTTCTCTTATATCATTTTTGCCATGACCCGACCCAATACTTAGAATTAACTAAGGCGAGTACTGAGATCGGACGAATTAACATTTAACTAACTATCAAAATTTTTAAAACTTTCAAAAAATATTAAAGTAAAACATTAATCCACAAAACCATATATGTCAATCCAAAATAAACAATGCAAAAAGAAATTACAACATAACATGTTATTACGTATCAGTTGCAGTCCTCCCATAAAACAAGTCTTTCCTACCAAGCTTATCAAACTAAAACTTTCATTCTCCTAAAAGAAAACTTTAATAGTAACCGTAAGTATGACTTAATGAATATTTATTATACAATATGTAGTGAATTATGATGTTTATGCTATGCGTGATTGACTAGAAGAAAATGAATCTCATTTCTTCATAAAACTTTGAACTTTCACTTTAATTTTACCAATTTCCCTTTCACTTTAAGTATTTACCAATTTAACATCTTTAATAGTCATTACAGGACTGTCATCATACCCAAATGTATCCTAAAAAATGTGTCCCAAGACATCCTCAAAATTGTATCTGAATGTACACTCAGATTGTATTCGAAGGTACAAATTTACCATTTTCGTTAACATTCACGGGCATATTGCATTCTCTGTTAGTATCATCTGGGAATAATCATGTATAACTTAAATCTTTATATTTCGTTTCATTTAACTTAAAATCATTTAAAATGAATGTTCGTATTTCTCCTATTTTTCTCCGATTTGTGATAAATTTCAGACTATCAAAATGAAAGACAAAAATGAAATACTTATTTTATTTAATAAAGCAATTATTCATTTTAAATAAAAAAAATTTAATGCATAAAAGAAAACAATCACTCACTGCCTTAAAAACCTTTGAAATTTTTATCCCTTCACTTTTAAATCAATAATATGCAATATTATTATAAGAATCTAAGGACTTGTATTTAAGCCTCGCTAAGGCAGCTTATAAATGTGTTTGGCGTTTTGAAAATGCTAAAGAGGCATTTTTTCGGCTTTTGGACTGCTTAACCGGAACCGTCGTTTCGATTCGTACATTAAATGCGGTCGCAGGATCGACCCTGCGGCTCACGTCCTTAACTTCACTTATTACTCCCGTTCCCTTTTGTTGATCCATCTCCTCGCTTGACCCTTGTTCTGCCCTAGATAACGTCTCGCTCATTTCTCCCCCTTAGTTGCTCGTATCTCGCGATTAGCGGTGCTTTTCACCCCTTCCTCCTACCTCCCTCCCTCTGAACTTTATCATGCTCTGCAAGTAATTTTGATGGAATGCTTTTCTATATGCAATTTGTGGAAAATTTTCAATGGAATGGTCATCTCTATGCAATTTTTCGATGAAATGGCTTTCTTTGCGAGATTTTTTTTATTTTTGGATAATTTGGAGAATTTGTGAAAGTGAATTTGGGTGAATAAGGTTGTATCTTGTGATTTTGTGCGATTCTCAATTGTGATTGGTTGTATGTGTTGTTGTGTTGTTGTGTTGTTGTAGTTGCCTTGGGTGGTGGTTGTGAGTGGCTTGTGGGCATCTATCTGGTAGTTGTATTTGGCTTTGTATGTGTGTGTGATTTTATATGGTGGTTGTATTTGACTGTGAGCTTAAAATTTACGTTCTAGCATACAATTATGATGTATTTGGTTGCTGGTGTGTGTGTGGCTGTGTGATTGGCCTTGGGTGTTCTGTGTTGTGGTTTTTGTTATGTTAGGTCGTTTGTGTGGGACTTGGCTGGGTGGTGATTGTGTTAGGATTAGGGACTGTGTGTGGTTGTATTGTGTTGGGGTTGTAGGTGTGTGTTATGTGTGTTGTGGTTGTGGGTGTGTGTGTGTGGCTGTGTTGTGTGGGGCTTGGTTAGATTGTGGTTGTGCGTGTGTTATGTGTTTTGTTGGCCTTAGGCGGGTGTTGTATTTCGCAGTGGGTGTGTGTGTAGCTATACATGGTGTTTGTGTTTGGTTGTGGGCTTAAAATTTACATGTATAGCATACAATTCTGATGTATTTGGTTGTGAGTGTGTATTTAGTTGTGTGGTTGGCCCTGGGTGTTCTGTGTTGTGATTTGTGTTGTTTTGGAATGTTTGTGTGGAACTTGGTTGAGTGGTGGTTGTGTTGTGTTGCAATCGTGGGTGTGTGTTATGTGAGTTGTGGTTGTAGGTGTGGGTATGATTATGTGTTGTGTGGGGCTTAGTTTGATGATGGTTGTGTTGGGGTTGTGTGTGTGCTACGTGTTGTGTTGGGTTTAGGGTGTGTGCTATGTGGTTGGGTTCAGGGGGAGTGTGTGAATGTATTGTGTTGTCCTGTTCGTGTGGTGCTATGTGTGTGTGGTGGTTGTGTTGGGTATAGGGTGTGTGTTGTGTTGGGTTTAGGGTGTGTGTTGTGTTGGGTTTAGGGTGTGGGTGTGGGTGTGGGTGTGGGTGTGTGTTGTGGGTTGTGTTGTGTAGGGTTTGGTTGGGTGGTGGTTGTGTTGGGGCTATGGGTGTGTGCTATGTGTTGTGTTGGGTTTAGGGTGAGTGTCATGTGGTTGGGTTTAGGGTGTGCGTGTAGATGTGTGTTGTGTTGGGTTGTTAGTGTGGTGCTATGTGTGTGTGGTGGCTGTGTAGGGTTCTAAGTTGTGTGTATGGTTGTGTGTAGTGTTGGGGGGTTGTGGGTGTGTGCTATGTGTGTTGTGGTTGGGGGTGTGCGTGTCTGTATCTTATTTTATGTACTATTCTGAAGTCGTTTTTTGTTTCTCAAATATCAAATATATTGATATTACAGTTTTGTTGCAAACAACATTACTGCACATAGGCATAATAATCATTTATTCGAAAACAACTGCAAAATTATTGTTTCCAACAAGCACAAACCAAGAAATCAACCAGCTTATCTAGATCAGCTGTTGGTCAACTACCCCAAACAGCCCTTAAATTGACACATAAACCAATAGGCAGTTTCTTAATTTAAAAGGTCTGATTTACTTCTTTGCACAAGACTATTCTTTTTTTCCTTTTACCTTTAATTAATCCAGCCTCTAATCTTTTACTTTTAATGTCTGATTAAAATAAACATATTATTAGGATTAAGTAAACCAATAATTTCATTTAAAGCAAACTTTACATCATAAAAAATTACATACCAAGAAGATTTGGTTCTTAGTGTTTGCACATAAAGCTCAATTTCACGCACGAGCCAAATCCCTTCTCCATAGCATCAAAATCTTCCACTTTTGATGCCTGTTTCAAGAACTTTATATTAACACTTTAATTAATTAAATTCATTCTAAAAAACATATAGCCTTCTATTAATTTACTTAATAAATCTCAAACAAATCTCAAACTTAGCTTAAGTTTTCGGTCGGCTGCCCTAACCCTTGTGCTAGCTCAACAACAGTTGGGTTTGTTACATGCGAGGCTCAACACTGCACGTGGCCGCACACTTCTTCGTGTGACTTCTTCCTTCTTCGGCTAGGGCACGATAGTTTCTCCTCTCTACCTCTCGTGTTGCCACTCGCTCATTCTTTACATTGGTTCAAATGAAGAGTTATACTACTCTTAAGTCGAAACCAAAGTGGGGCGCATATCCTTCGTGCCTATTCAAATAATTGTTATTTTCTTTGTCATTACATAAAGAGTCTGAAATAACAAGCTCTTTTGATAGTCAAAATGCTAGTATACTTTGGTGCCAGCTTGTTAAATAATTCTTCGGCAAGAGTATAATGTATTTAACTAAGCCATTTTGGACATATGATAGTGTTAGCATCTGTCCGACTCACTTTCTTTCTAGCCCTTGAAAGTTAATTTTAGTGTCCTTTCAGCAGCATCTTGCACTCAACAGACTAGCCCATATGTCTGTTCTAACTCATGACCGCTTACACAGTTCTTGATATCCACAGTTCGCATTTACAATGCCTCCATCTTGAAATTATGCAGCCACATTTCTAATTGATAGCAATCAAAACTTTTCTATATTATTACTTTCAATCACTTACTTTCCAATGGAGTCAATTTTTTAGATCTTAAATATAAAATAAAATTACCTTGTACTGCAACAAATAAATTTAGTAATTCTGAAGTATGGAGCCAACTAAGCAGCTATTGATTTGGCTGTATGCACTGAAACATACGTAAAACAGATTACTTGGGCCGTCATATTTAGCCACATCAGGTATTCTTCATCAGTTTTTGGCATACATGCAAAACTAATTTTTTTTGTAAATTATTAGAGAATAAATTTACTTCAAGCACAAAATAAAGCACTACAAACCATGGAGCCATTCCAAGGCTGCTGAAGAACGAGTTGTCAAAATTGTGAAGCTGTGAAGTTTCTCACCTGGACAGGAGTTGAGCACAGTTTAGAAAACGTGAAATTTGTTGTAGTCAAAAGAAAAATATGTTGCGATCTTACAGAAAAAAAAAATGTTGAGTCAAAAGTAAAACATGCCAAGAACTTAAAGAGAAAAAAAAATTCTAACAAAAACAATTTCACAAAAATCATTCATAAACAATAAGGATTTCAAACTCAAACATGTGCAACAAATTGCTACATGCAGAGAATGACAATTATACTATGACATTTGAGAACTTTTGAATATATTTACTAATAACGCCTTTATTTTCAATCAAGTAGAAGAAGTTTTTTTAAAGTAATCTCGTAGGAAATTTTATTCATCAAAACAAATTATTAAAAGATAGTAGCCAACAGTTCTGCTAAAACCTCTCAACACTACATCTCACGCAAGAAATGAAAAGCATAAAAACCGTTAGCCAAAGTACAGCACCAATTCCGTGAATCCCACATATCCATTATAACTAGTATCTTTCCTCAATGACTAAGGAACAGATTTCTTCTTGATTGATTTCTTAATTCTTATCATGTAAACATGCAAGCATTCTTTATGGAAAAACAACATTAGTCTTTGATCTAAGACCACAGACTTATGATAACAGTTGAAGATATCTAACAGATTCATGACTACATATTGCTTATAATTTGAATTGGAAAAAGCTCTAAATGACCCCTCATATATTTGCATGTGGCCATTTTATTTCTTAACCTATCCCATATCTACCATTTAATCTCTCGACTCCAAAATTTGAGCACAAATAGTCCCACTATTAGAATTTGACAAAAATTTCAATAAAAGTTGACACTCAAGGTAACATTTGAAGGTGTTTTGGAAACTAAAATTTGAATATATATTCATTTAAATTTCTTACAATCCTCAAGTCCTCGTTCATTTTTATGTCGAGCTGTACAAGACCAAGCCAAATGAGAAGGGATATCTCATATGAGGTTATGTTTATGGATTAAGATGTTTTTTTCGCCTAATTTCTTTTACATATTATTTACTTTTACCTTGCTTCCATTGCGTGCATTTTTTCGTTTCAGAATGTGATGATTTTTTAAGCAAATGGAATACATTGAATTTATATTTTTCATTTCAAAATATGATATTTCCCACTCATTATGAATGGATGCGCGTAAAGTTAAAGGATACGGGTAAAAAAGCTAACCCATGAAATTAATATTAGAATAGGATCTTGGAATATCGGTACTCTCACAATTAAATTAATGAAATTAGATACTATGATTCATAGAAAGATAAATATCTTATGTGTTCAATAAACTAAATGGGTTGGACAAAGGCTAAGGAAATTGATAAATTAGGTTTTAAACTTTAGTGTTCATGTTATAAAAATTAATTTAAATGTAAAAGCTTAGAGATTTGGGAAAAATATAAATGACCCGTAGAGAGTTGTAAGAGTCGCACTAAAAATGGTGCAGGTGTAATTAAAAATAAAAGTTTGAGAAATAATGCTGTAAAAATTAATAGAATTGGAGATAATTATAGCCCTTAAGTGTATTGTTGATACTAAAATTTTTAATATTACAAGTGCTAATGCTCCTCAAATTGGTTTATATATAGGTTCTAAAGATAAATTCTAGAATGAACTAGAAAACATTATACAAATAATACATCTTCAAGAAAGAATTTTTATTAGAGAAGATTTAAATGGACATATCAATAGAGCATAAGAGAATTTTAGAACTATTCATGGTGGATACCGTTTTAAAGTGATTAATGAAGAAGATGCAATCATATTAGATTTTGTTTCAGCGTATGATTTTGTTATTGCTAATACTTTATTCAAAAAATGAAATTAGAATATTATAATTTATAAGAATGGATCTAATAAAACACAAATTGATTATTATCTTATGAGAAGAAGATATCATCTAGAATCTAAAGATTGTAAGGTCTTCCAAGTGAGGGTTTAGGTACTCAACATCGATTATTAGTTTTAGATTTTAAGATGAAAAATTGTAAAATAAAGGAATCATTTATAGATGGGGCGCCTAAAAAATAAATAAAATTATTTTTATGAGAAAAATTTAAGATTTTGGAAGATCATGAGGTAGCAAATTTTATGTGGGAAAAAGTATCAAATATCATTAAACAAATGACAAAAAATGTACTCGAAGAATTAAAAGAAAAAAATTTTATAAATAAAAATAATTGGTGGTGGAAAAAAGATAAGATATAAAAAGTTATGTTATAAAAATTAATTTAAGTGTAAAAGCTTAGAGATGTGGGAAAAATATAAATGACCCGTAGAGAGTTTAAAATAACAATCGGAGATGCCAAAATTCTGTTTTTAGTGATCTTTATAATCGATTAGAAAATAAATAAGGTAAAAATACATGTATAAACTAGCCAAATAAAGAAAAAATAAAATTAAAGATTTAACTCAAATAAAGCATATTAAAGGTGAAAATCAAAAAAAAAATTTCTTAGAAAAAAATATTCAACATAGGTGGGTGACTTATTTCGATAAATTGTTAAACAAGTTTTTAAAGATATGATTGACCTTAGTGATCTTAATATCGTTAATAATAATAAATTATTTCATTTTTAGCGTAGCATTAGTAAAAAACAAGTTGAAGATGCTTTAAAAAAAACCAAGGGTAGAAAATCTGTAGAACCTGATGAAATCCCAATTGATGTGTGGAAATATATAGAAGATTTCGGACTTTTTTGGCTTCCTAAACTCCTTAATATTATTTTAAAAACTAAAAAGATGTCTGAGAAGTGGAGGAAGAGTATTTTGGTCCCATTTTTATAAATAAAGGGATCCACAAGAGTATGCAAATTATAGAGGAATTAAGTTGATGCGTCATATTTTAAAATTATGGAAGAGGGTAATTGAATATAAGTTAGAACGTATTACAAAGATTTTTCATAATCAATTTGAATTTATGTCGGGCAGGTCTACTATGGAAATTATACATTTATTGAGAGGTTTGATGGAGAAGTTCAGAGGGAATAAGGATGATCTACATATGATTTTTATTGATTTAGAAAAAACTTTTGATAAGATTCCAACAGATATCCTTTGTAAAGTTCTAGAGAAAAAATGTGTTGATATGACTTATATTCAAGTCATTAAAGATGTGTACTAGAATTGTTATTTGTGTTCGAACAAAAGGAGGATTGACCAAATATTTTCCTATTTTGTAGGATAACATCAAAAATCGACTTTAAGCCCATATATTTTTGCTCTAGTTATGAATGTTGTTACTAGACATTTACAGGAGGATGTACCTACGTGTATGCTTTTCACTGATGATATCCTTCTCGTAGATAAGAAAAGAGAGAAAGCTCATGTAAAACTTGAATTATGGAGGTCGACATTGGAGTCTAAAGGCCTTCGTTTGAGTAGAACTAAAACTGAATACATAGAATGAAATTTTAGTAGTAGTAGCTCTAGTGACAAAGTTCTAACTATGGGTAACTAATTTATTAAAAAGTGTGAACACTTTAGATATCCCGGGGCTATTTTTCAAAGTAATGGGGATGTTATTAGTAGAATTCAAGTTGGCTGGTTGAAGTAGAGGAGTGCATTGAGCCTATTGTGTGATAGAAAAGAACCACTTAGACTTGAAAGAAAAAATTATAAGATGATTATGAGACCTGCAATACTTTATGGCACATATTATTGACCTTTACAAGAGAATCATAAACATTGTTAAGTGTTGCGAAGATGAGAATGCTTAGGTGGATGAGTAGCTTTACACTAGGAAACAAAATGCAAAATGAATTTATCTGTGATAGGGCTGGTGTAGCTCCAATGACAGACAAAATTAGAGAGTTGTCTTAGATGTTTTGTTCACATTAAACGTCGACCATCAGATGATTTGATTAGGATAGTAGATATTTAAGATTCGACTTATGTTAAGAGAGTAGAGGTAGAACTAGAAAATTTTGGGCATATTGTATAAAAGAAATATTAATTTATTAGAATTAAATGAAAATGAGAACAATGCTTAGGTGGATGAGTAGCTTTACACTAGGAAACAAAATGCATAGGAAAAACTTAGCCAATGAAGGACACAATGGAGAAAAAGGATTCATGTAGTCGACCAGATTGGTGGGATAGAGGTTTTTTGTTGTTGTTGTAGTTGTAGAAGACATATGGAGAGTTTATATTTTTGATTGAAAATATTGCAATTTTTATCTGATGTAACTCACATTGCCATTTTCTTGGTTCTTTGCTCACAGTTTTTATTTTCATTTGGCAAACAAGTTCTGCAATATTAGGGATTGAAAATGGCAAAATATTTACTTTTTGAAAATACCTTTCTACCATGCCTTCTATGTCAAGCTAACATTTAGCCAATGAATTTAACTAAGGAAAAGCTTAGCATTGATTCAGTTTTACAGCACAAGATAGCATACGCACAAGAGGATGTGGTTAATAAATAATAAAATTTAGTAAGAGTATAGTCCCACAAAGACTGTCTGTCAATTACTAAATTAGATCTCTTAACCATTATTCTTAAAAGTTTATATTTAGCATTATATTTCAAAAGATCAAGAGTACAGAACATACGCCACTAATTTATCATCCCAAAGAAAAGAAAAGAGAGCATATGATTCATGTACATGTTTCAACAAAAAAAACTCACATAAGGCTTGTTGTACACAAAAATGAGCAGCCCTATTATGCTTTCTATGAGTCAAATGAAAAAAAAATTATCTAAACTAAGTAAAACAATAAAATGATTTTCTTGCGGTCGAACATTCACTTTCTTTCAGACAGGCACTATCTGAGAAGATAAATGACATTATATTGTTCCATTCAGTGATAAGTCTTTTCAACTCAAACATCCAAGGCTTCAAAATATTTTTAATGGAAAGGATGGAAGCTACCTCCACCTAGGCACTGCCCAAATGTTCTAAATGCTTCCTTGTCGCCAGTAAGCATTCCCAAGTCTCATCACAAATGACTAATCCCAAATCAGTCTCATGAAATAAAGCAAGGCCCCCA